ATAACTTCAAGGAATCCTGTTAGTGGTATAAATCCATTGAGAGACAGACATTTGTGACCCATATCCAGATCTCAATACAGACCTCAAACTAGGGAAAATCCTTTCAGCCAATTTGATGCAACTTTATCCTGAAACTTTTTCCTTTTCTCTATCCAAAGTCCAAATGTCCTGACACAAAGTCTTGTTAGTCCATCTCTTAAGACAACAAAAGTTACCAAAGGCTCCTCCTCCACTGTGCTCCAAGGGGAGTGAGCATCAACAGCCCCAGACAAGGGATCTGTTTTTATGGCCTCTTGACAAACGAGGTAATGCTGTGATTTCTGTAGGTGTGCGTGCAAAGCATGTTTTGCAAATTATATGTCATCTGATACTGTCAAATGTTGTGTCATCCTAAAATCCCCGTGTTGTACTAGTCCAACAGGAAACACATGGGTTCTGCCTAAGGTGTTTCCTTTTGGAAAGCACTGAATCAGCAGCAGGAGCAATACCAAGGGAAATCCTAGTAAGAGACGGGGCTAGAGCAAAAGATGGCAATAGATGAATGGCTGGGAACCTAGCTGTGACATCGGAGAATCCCCTGTTATCATCACTACATACTGCACGGCTCTGGCTTCAGAAACAGTGAGTATGGCCTCCAATTAACCCTTTCGCATAACACTTGAAAATGATTAATACAACTCCCTGGAGCAGCAGGCTGGGTGATTTCCTTGGAAATGAGCTAAAATTATAATAGTTAAATATATAGGCAATTATTGATATTTTTTCACAGTTAATTGTTTAGTCTCCACACTCACCTTTGGAGAGGAAAAATTCAAACCATCCTGAAAATAATTTAATATCTTAGAAGATCAGGCAAGTTTAATTATTTGTGCTGTGTATCCAGATCACATCCAACTGAAGATCAAACCCATTAACATGCTGGTAGATAGTTCGGAATTTTCTGACATACCCAAAACATGTCAAAACGACTGTTTGTTCTTTAATTTTTTTTAGCTTGATTGTAAATAGCTTCTGTTCCCTCCTCCCCGGCCCCATGTCAGAATTTTATATGCTTCTGTAGAAAAGGAAGAGATTCAATAAATGACCTTCCTTAAAATTCATATCTGTGTTCAATTCAAAACTGACATTGCCGAAAAGTTCTACAGTTCAGCGTTTAACCCATTTAAAGTTAAAGCTCTTGCCACAGGTCTTTAATTTCTATTTACTAGTTATTGAGACTTCAGCTGAGGTTGCACCGTGCAAACATGTTATAGCTGCTTTACAAGCAACACCGGCACTTTTGGGGATTTTTTAATTTAACTTTTATCTTAATGGCCCTTTCAGGCCCTAAAAATACTGAATAATGATGCATAGTATAGATGATACATACATTTTTGCATTAACTTTCTTTTAAAGAGAGGGACTTGTCATGTGACATGGGATTGCAACTTGGAGCAAATGCAGTTGGAATGTGGATTTATTTTTGTAGCTGGTCGTATGACATGCTTATAGCAGGGGCTTCTTATTTTTCATACCTTGATGAACACGGGCCTGTCTCTGATTTTACCATTAAAATAGCACAGAGTCAAGGTTTTATAGGCAATGTTCTACTTCAGTCCTTGCACTGTTCTGTGACAACGTGGTGGTTCAGAGTTATCTGTTACATGACTCCCCTCTCTTAGTGGAACTGCTTCTGATGATAGGCCTCAGGCCTTCGCCCCTCTCAAGGCTGGAATACCATGATTCTCCCATTTCCAGGCTGGATCCTCAAGTTGCAATATTTTGCGCTGAGAGTAGTTACTCACCAGGCCTTACTGATAAGATTATAATAATATAAATAAGAGACCGTTGCAGGAGAAGGAAAGCCTGAGGCATGTCAAGAGACACTGCAGTGGAATTTCTAAATTGAAAAATTAGCCCCAAAAAATCAAGAACTACCAGTTGAAATTTTTCCTGGGGTAAAATAAACCTTCCCTGTCATGGGCAACTGGTGCCTCCTGAGTCGGGGGGGCACTTGTCCCCCCCAGCAGCCTGTCAGTGACTGGGGGGGTGGGTCCTCCCGCGGCTGATCCCACCAACCCGCAAGTGGCAGAAACGCACCACTGGCATTTCCGGGTGCACCGCTGTCACTTCTGGATGAGTGCAATTGGCCACGGGAGAACCACGGGGATCACTTCTGGCACCCCACTCCCCGGTCAGTGCTCTCAGGGGGGGCACCAGTGCTCTTGCCTGCCCCCCCTTCCTGGGAACGCTGACTATCAGGGGGTGCACCAGCGCTTTCAGGGGGTGCACACGCACCCCCTACACATCACCACTGCTCCCTATTCTGCTATACAGTCCTTGCA